GGGAATTTCAGGCTTGACTCTAGTGGCTGAGAAGTTTGCTGGAGTCGGTGGGCTGAGATGAGAAGAAAGCTGGATAGGGGGTCTAAAAGCCCTTTAGGGTCTGGTTCCTAACTGCTTCACTGCTTTTCTAGTGCCATGGAGGCCAGGGCAGAGCATGTCAATGAAACAAAGGACAAACATGAAACAAAACGCCATGGGCAACCACGTCTTGATCAAATCTAAGAGTGATTCAAGTTAATAAGTAACATAACCCCACCACCTTTTTCATGGCTTTAATTATTACAGCCAGTAAAAAATATTCAGGCCATCCCTGTTTAGTGATGTTTTATTTACCCCTAAAGGCTAAAGTCTTCATTAAAAGCAGAAGAGTTGTGTTCAATTCAACACATATGGTGAGATCACAGCCCAGTTTATTATAGTTTTTTGAAATGTTCACTCGCCCTCCCCCCAAAATACACACAATCGAGGAATCTGAATACACAGCACTGCAATTACAATTGGCCCGTATCAGATTTTTAGTACATAATTGATTTAAAACACAAACTTATTTTTGAATAGATCCCCATGGTTTCTATTTTTCTAGCACAAATCAATCTTTTCCTAAGGCCATTTCTTCCACTGTTCAAAGGGAACAAAGCTGCTGTTGAAGGGGTTTTCCTTTGCCCCAGATGTTTCACTCAGGTGTGCTAAACCTGGCCAAGTTCCTGAATAGCCTGACACCATGTGGTTGCAGAAGCCAGACAAAATGCCTGAGCTATAAAGGAACAGGTTAAGAGGACAGAGCAATCCACATGTCCACAAGATCAGTGCCATTAATTTCTTTTTTTTTTTTTTTTAATTTTTTTTTTTTTCAACGTTTATTTATTTTTTAAGTGAGAGAGGTAAGAGCATGAGCAGGAGGGCAGAGAGAAGAGGAAGGGAGACACAGAATGGGCTCAGGCTCAGGCTCTGAGCCCATCAGCCCAGAGCCCGGCCAGCGGGGCTCGAACTCACTGGGACATGGTCGTGACAGCTGAAGTCAGGACTCAACCGACCTCACCACTTAGTAGCTAATTTTTTTTTATGGTATACAGACTTTATCACGGAACTGCCCAATTATGTTTTCCAAATCTCACACTTTATGTTTTCCAAAGAGAATTAATGAGCCGTATCTTTCCAGGTAAACTCTTCACTGAGGAAAGAAGTGTAATTCTTTGTCATGTCCTATATTAGAAAAGCAATTGTTTCCAATCATACCTCACTTGGATCAGTGTTTTTTTTTAAATACCTTTGGCTCTCTTTTGGCATTACTTGGTCTGTGAAGCTAAACCAGCAGGAGAGGAGCTGGAATCATTCCAAATTAAGACCCTCCCTCCTGCAAGAGAGGAAGGCTGAGCGGGGAGGGGTAGTTCTGTCACGAATGGCCTCACCTCCATGAACACTCAACCGGAGGGAGGGGGAAAGCATCCTTACCAGTAGGTGTCTCTTGGAGCACTTGGTCAGAAATGAGCAAAGGAGTCAGATCTCCCTGCTCTTTAATCCCAGGGATGGAGGCAAGTTCTGGAGAAGAACTGGAAAATGTGGAACCTCAGGCACTGGGAAGCAGCCCAAGATGAAACACACTTGGACCTGGGCCTTGACATTTTTCTTTAGAAAAAAGTGCTTATCGTGTGGCTGTACAATGGTCTAAATGCTGGAAGCATTCAGCTGGAAGCTAAACTTGGCTTTGTGTTTGACCATCCATTTTTATTAGCAGAATTGCACACCGTGAAATACAGTCCTCCTTCGTCCCTAGTTCTCAGAAAACCATTCCTGATAGCAATGTAATTCTAAACGGGAAAAAAAACCCACAGGAAAAAGAGGCCAGGCATTAAATTTTACAAAGCACAGGAAAGTAACTGATGTTTGATTATGTATGGACGGTTATTCCTATCAATGTAGACACAAGCCTATGGGAAGGGCTTGGGGAAGCAGGGCCCTCTGGTGAAGCTGTGGCCTCAAAGCCACCTGACCCCTGTGCTCCTCTCCCCTCCTGAGGTCCCCTGGAACTGAGGAGAAACCGTCTCCACCTGGTGCTGCTTGTGTTCGAGGAGGGCTAACAAGACCCGTGCTTCCTCTTCTAGCCCTTCCTACAAGCCCCTACCGCTATTCTTATTATATTCCCAGAATTAAATTAAATTAAATTAAAATAGCATCCTTAACATGCTTTAGTTCTGTGGGAAAAGGAAATATATCAATCATGTACTAACTTAAGAAATTTAACATCCTGAAAAGTTTTTACAAACTCTGAGAAATAAAAAATAATGTCAGCAATCTTAGTCTGCCGTTACAAGTCACTGTTCTTGACAGTAAATGACACCAGGGGCCATTTTAAAGACTTAAAAATTAATAACATGAAAAATGAAGGAATGACAATAAACAAACATGATGTCCATAGCAGGGGTAAACAAATTAGTAAACTCTTAAATTGTTTCTATTGTATAGCCTGCCCTAAACACTTTAGGAGAAGTATTATTAAAGTAAAATGTTGTGGGTTTTCTTTTTGTTTTTAAGTAGGTTTCAAGCCTAGTGTGGAGCCCAGTGCAGGGCTCGAACCCATGACCCTGAGATCAACATCTGAGCTAAGATCAAGATACAGCTGTGTAAAAATATGAATTTATTAACCGTTTCTATTAGTAACACAGTATATTGATTTATAATTTGCAAAAATAGGACTCTTTAACCCGCCAGTGCAGTTTAAATCACTTCATTTTTGTCCTGTGAAAATAAAGATTATCTTGTGGACACCTCCTTTGAATACAGGACATAATACAAAGATGGCAGGATGTCTGGCTTCCTCACTACAGGAGAGTTTTGAGAGGCACTCAGTGACTTGTCCAGAGGCACAAAAGCTAGAACCCTGCTGGCAGTTCATCCCCAAAGCCTCAAACATTGTTGCTACTAGACAGAAAAACTCTCCTCATAGATCTTAATGTTTATTCTCTAATATTACCTCTCTTTGGACCTTTCCCAACTGATCCACACTCCTTGAGATGCAGACTCCCAAAGTGCATAAAGCATACTGTCTGATCCCTCCCAGCCATTACACTATTAAATATTTAGAGGCACTGGGCAAATCCCCACAGGTGTCCCATTCAACTTCTGTCTGCCCAGTGGATCCACAATAACCCTGCTTTCAAACCTAGGGCTGGGAGTTTCCCACATGAATCTAAACAGTGCCTGGTCTATCAAGATCACTGCGACTGCCACATTTACTGGCAACTTTATTAAACCTGCCTCACCTATAAACTCGCCACGGTTATCTTGAAGTCCAAATCCCCAACACCAACAGTCAGCCACAGTGATTCAGGGACTGCTCCTATCATTTCCCTCCCTGTGGCAGTGTAGGCCCCGATCCATCCAAACAGGACTCTGTGAGTCCTGAGAGCCGCTACAGGAAAAGGTAAGATAAGCCAGTATTCAAGAAACCATCCAGTACCCCTTCATGGACAAAACATGCTGCTGTCAATAAAGAGATCTACGACTTCTAACAATCTTAATACAGGACAAATTAAAAATACAGGAAAAGAAATCTCCCTTAATGAAAGAAACCACTTCCATGAGGAGATCCCTTCTCTTGCAGGGGATCCTGGAAGCAGAATACCCACGATTTGTTCGTACCATAGAAATATTAATCATTTTGCAACAAAAGGAGTTATTTACAGCTGCTTTGTCTTCACTTCCTAGATTTAACCACCAGAATCTCTAAATAGCCAGGTAGTGGCCTGGATTTGTTTGCTGTAGTTACCAAGAGTTGTGGCAAACAGGGGTTGTGTCATTAGGCTTTCTATCATTGTATTCAGGAGGGTTTTTTTTTGGTTGGGGAGGGGAGGGGAGAGTTTATATGTTTATATTCAGATTTAAAATTTGTGCAAGTTGCCTAGAAACCAAAGCACAGAAGAATTCACAGTCTGATGTATGTGAAATTGCAGCTGCTGGAAACAGCATGTTCTCCCAACTACACTCTGGGCTGGGCTCATTCCTATCTAGCTCTGTCATTCAAGGTTGATGGGATCTAGTTTTCCAGGGCGTTTGGTTTAGTTTATACCATCACCTTTGGTATAATGACAGGAATCAGTGTTGTTTTCCACCTTGCTTGAATGTACTTTATTCTTTAGGAAACTTCCGTTCCTTCTCCTGTCTCAGGACAGTACATACATGTAGCTTTACTTTTGAGAGATACAGGCCTTGCACAGAGTGAGGATGGGTGGATGGGTGGGTGGATGGATGGATGGTTTCTCACACTGAAAGCATTCTTCACGCCAAGCAACTTTCACTGAAAGAGCTCCATGTATTCTGTACACATTGGAGGTGCCAACATTCCCCACCATGGCACCATACTCCTGGTCACATTCGGTAAGTAGGGGCCCAGTAATAATGCTGCTCAGGATCATGATGAATCAGCAAGTGAAGCCAGATAAACGTTCAGGAATTTATGAGCTTGTCTGCCAGGTAATGGGCTACACTATACAGATAAATCACTTATAATGTTGCCATAGTTTTCAGGACTAAGCACTTCCTTCTCCAGGAGCGTCTGAAGGACTGCAGAGAGCAGCTGAAGAGAAATAAACAGCACTTACGGGCTTTTCCTTTCTAGTTTAGCAAACTGGACGATTTGCCATCCTGTCCCCGTCCCTCAGCCATCTCCTGGAGGCACTATGCCCAGAACAAAGATGATGCCTTATTTACTCCACAAACTGAGAGGTGGAGAAGAAAGGTGAATATTCTAGGGAAAAATGCAAGTTAAATTTCTGTAGCACACCGGAATTCATCAAGCTCTGGTGCCCAAGATACGGTGTTATTTTTTACACTATAATCTCAAACAATAAAACCCTGTACAACCTTTATGACCGAATGTGGCAATACTTCTGATGACTTATATGTCCTAAGGACACAAATATTTTCTGTAGTTACTTGTATAGCCTATTATTTTCTATCAATGAACTCTAATCAGCTTTTGGGTAAAATAAGCAAAGGATGACTTCAGAAAAAATTCTTAAGATAAAATAGACACTGATAAAAGAAAATCCGTTCTTTTTTTCCCCCAACTTAAAGGCGAACAAAAAAATACAAAGATGAACAAATAAATACATTTTTCCTGAAACATCATAAAACAGTTATTCATAACCAAACTACCAATACCGTTCTGAGGTCATGCTGGTAAAAAACTTCAAAAGCCTCTGTAGGCTCTCTACAATCTTCATGCCCACAGTAAGGCTGGAGACACCTCACACATGTGTGATGTTCCAACAGAACAGGGCCATCCAGGTTTCAAATGAAAAGTTTAACAGATGCTACCACTTTCTGCAAGTAGCGCATTCAGAATGCGCAACCTGCCCAAACGCAGTGAGCATCTGATCCCCTAACAGTTGAGTTGGCAAGAGAGGGACATTCAGGGCCTGGACTGCTAAAGTGACCTGTGGCCAGGCTGGGACAAGGAGGCCAAAGGGCTCTCAGAGCCACAGCCCTGCCCCCACCCCGGCTGACTTCCAGCCCTGTGGTCTCCAGGTCAGACCTGGAGCTCCCGGGCCAGGTTTCCTCCACTTCTCCGTTGTGTCACGCCTGGTGACGTCTGCAACAAACTAGTGTTCTCCCTGCTTAAAACAAAAATATCCCCACCATTCTGGTAGCTGCTGAAAGGAATACAACACCACACTTCTGGTTTTTAAGAGCAAGTAAATACACACGTTTTATGGCCAATTACGTATTAAGCTAATTAGGGAGCAAGGAAAGATTTTTCACAAAAAGATTAAATACCTTTATAAGGGATGAAGGACATTCCCCCACCCTCCATTATGATTCCTGTCATTTTAAGGGTTGCTACTCTTAGAAAGTTATTTAAAATTTAGGATTTTTTTCCATAGGTGACAATTAAAAGCAAGGACCTTGGAACCTGGGTGGCTCAGACGGTTAAGCCTCGGATTCTTGGTTTCGGCTCTGCCCTGGCAGGGCGGGGCCTGCTTGGGATTCTCTGTCTCCCTCCTTCTCTTTCCCTCCCCAACTTGTGTTCTGTCTCTCTCAAAAATAAACAAACATTAAAAAAAAAAAAAATCAAGTGAAGCCTACCAAATTCCATCTTCAAGAACTACAACCTCAGATAATAAAATCAAAAGATTGTATTTTCATACTTTCAAATAATTAAATTACAAAAAATGTCCTTCAGAGAAACCAGTAAGATCTTGCAAAAGCAAGCAAGCTCACTGGAAGATTCCAACTGCCCTCAAGCTTAGAGAAGCTTAGGCTTACAGGAAATGTGCACACACAAAATCACATGTGCATCCTCATAAAGGAACCCTTAAACACAGCAGGAATTCTTAAAAGACACCTCAATTACGAGATAGCAAAAATCTGGGGAGATATAAAACACGAGTATTTGTACAGTCTTTTGTATTCAAGAGAGTTCAGTGTGACCAACGTCACAAGAGCCTCTCCCCGGGGTCTGCAGTCTCTCATTTTCATTTTCTGGATGAAGCATCTGAAAGCATGTGGTGTAGGGGGCGAGTCTGGGTCAATGAATGATGAAAGGGCAGTGCCTGCTCTTACTGACAGACAAGCTATGCTATGCACTGATTTCTTTTAGAAAATATTGTTGGGCGGCTGGGTGGCTCAGTTAAGGATCCGACTTCAGCTCAGGTCATGACCTTGTGGTTCATGAGTTTGATCCCCACATCAGGCTCTGTGCATGACCACTCAGAGCCTGGAGCCTCCTTCGGATGGTCTCCTTTGCTCTCTGCCTCTCCCCTGCTCACACTCTTTCTCTCTCTCTCAAATAAATAAACATTAAAAAAATTAAAATATATATATTGTGTGAATCTGGTGTCAACGGGATTCATTTTTAAAAATAGCAAGGCACCAGTTCAAAGGAAATTCCTTAGAGTTACTACTGCTTAGATCTTCAAGGTGTTCCAACTGGTCCTCAACCTGAGTTAGTTTCTGACTGCTCCCATAGGATGCATCTTTGGGGCAGATTTTTCAAATACGCCAACAATTAATGTCCAGTTTCAGGGAAAAAATGAAGTGTGACTACTGTTAGAAATGTTTTTCTTCCAAATTATTAAACGAAATGCTAGATGTATAGGATGTCTTCCCACTTCCCTCCCAGGTTCATAACAAAACCAGAAACATATCAATCAATCCAATCTAGCCTTTAGCAAGAATCACAGCAAGGCCTGCCTGTCAAGCTCCTCTTTCTAGAGATGTGTATTACGTCACCGAAACAGTATGTGCTTTCTCTCAGCGTGGCTCATGTGAAATCAAGGACTGTCAGTTGATCAGAATTGAAGGCATAATCGTTCCAACCTTTCTCCATTAAAAAAACATGAGGATATTTACATCTTCCAAACAAGTGCCTTTAGCCCACATAAAAACTGATGAGCCAAAGGAGGCCTCACAGGCCACAGTGCATGGTTTAAGGGAGAAATTATTAATGCCCAAGTGCAGTTTCAATACTAGCTCATCTTTACTGTTCAACTGTTTCACCCTCACCCTTTATGCCATTTCTGCCCCATTTATTGTCTCAAACTGTAAGGAACATGGTCTCAAATTCTCTCACCTCTGTGATCTGTGTCAGAAAACTCAATTTGTATTTACCAGTTTTGCCCTTTCTTATATCTTGATGTTATTTTTCAAATCAACCTATATTACCAGGAGTGAGAAAATGGGGGTGAAAAAGTATGTTTTAGTGGTTGTCTGAACCCATTCTCCTTTGTGAAGGATCCACTTTATGAAGATACCGAAGCTCTTATTCAAAAGTGTAATAAGAATAAAGATGAAGTAATCACTACTTACATTTTGGCTTTGAACAAGAAATAAAAGTACGATTACGTTTCAAATATAACTGAAAACTCCTGGTTTTCAAATATGCACCCTAAAGAGAAAACAACATGAATGCCAGGACTCGGAACCAAATCTCTAAACAGAAGACAAAGCAGGGACACGTGTCACCAACAGGTCACATAGAAAGCAAGTCTCTTAATTTAGGGGACAGAACTGCACTAACACAGGTGACAGCAAAATGGGCAGAGAACATACAACATGTTAGAACCCCTACTTGATTAAGCAAATGATGCGGTTTGGCATTATAAACTGCTATGTACAGTATACTAAATTTAATGCCCAACACAAAGAACTTTGGACATTTGACTTCTGGCTATATGATTTTTATCATTTCTGTATATTAAATTGTTATGTAATTCATACTCTAGTCCCATTTCTGATATGGCACAAAATAAATACAAAAAACAGCACTGTGATTCACTGAATCTTGCCAGATTCAACATAAAGCTCATATTCCTAAATGTCAAATATTCCCAACGGGATCTTTCTGGTGAAAGGAATATTAAGTAGACTAAATTTATTATTAATTAGTGTCAGATAATTAACCTAGTATTTCATTTCCAAAGAGGGGAAACTGAGTTATGGAGTTAACATGAAGAGTCACTGACCGATACAGAGAGGACCACACACACGTAAGCCCATCAGTGCTACTGGGTTAACACGTCACCTGTGGTGGAGAGGCCGTCTGGTGGAACATGACTGGGTGGAAGGAGAGGGAAACCGGACAAGAAGATTCCGCAGGACGGAAGGAGTCACCATGTGGGGTGCAGGGGAGCGGGGATAAGAGAGGAGAATGGAGAGAGGAATGCTGGGCACCCTGAGGGGACGAGCCACCCAAATCAGCAGGTGGGGGGAGAGGCTAGCACCAGAAAGGGGAACAAGGGTATCAAAAGAAGGGGTGAAACGAGGACACACTAGGTGGACACCTTGGACGTGCCACCCTCCAGCCTCTGTGACCCAGTAGGAGAGAACTGCCTCTGAGATTAACAGCACATGGTAGCAGGGCTATTCTTAGCGATCTGTGCTGACTGGAGTTGCAGGTACCTGCCCTCAAACCACGTAAGGCGTTCCTCTGACTCCACTGTTTCTAACTGAAATCTCCTCAGAAACTACACTGGTGCTCTAAAAAACAGCCATTCTAAAACGAACTCGGGTGTTCCAGCACTTGGCACAGTATCAGGAAAGCCCGTCCCCATTATACACACACACATGCACACGCACATCCAGAGTCAGTAAAGACCTCTGGGAATCTTTCAGGGCAGCACAGCCTATAAAATCAGTGAGAAGGCTATTTTATCATAGAGTAAAGGCTATTTCATCACAGCACACAACCGGGTACAAGAAATCACCCTGCCCTGACTTTATTCAGTCATGTATTTACCGATTTATTTCAGAGAACGTGTCTCTATTCCTCAATAGCACCTACTGTTTACTGGTTACAAAAACTAGCCTCTGGCACTCCTCAAATGTGCCACGACTGAATCCCGTGCCTCAGAAAGACCTACAGAGCAGAGAGTATGCTGGAGGAACATCAACTCTTCTGACCAGTCCCACTGGACACCCAAGGTGAGGGTGAACAGCGAACACTGCTGTCTTTCCAAGGACAGAGAAAAACATCTCCAGATTTTAGCCAGTGGCTTCTGTGTCAATAGAAATACCTCTGAATGGCAGAACGGCAGACCGTACTTAACTGAGAACATACCCACGAGGCATGTTTTAAAAACAGGGCTACGGGACCCTCTTGTTTCCCTGGAGGCAAAAGCCCACTCTGCTCCAGAAGGGATAGGCTTTCTGATGAGCCACAAGGCCCCACAGACTGCTGGGTGTGGAACAGCTCCTCCACACCTGAGGAATACCTGGTCGACCCCAGGGCCCCAGGGGGGCCAGGACTTGCACCTACAGCTCCAAGAGGGGTGACCCAAAAAGGAAAGCCACACTACCGGAAGCATTTGGCCCTGGTTGGTCAGGACAAATGGGGCTTTCTCAGACATACACAACAAAGTGTGTTTTTAGGCACACTGGAGAGTTTCTGGGCCACTACACATGAGTCTGATATCCTTGGACTTGTGCCTTCTGATCAGGCCCCTTTCCATGTTATGGTTAACACAACAGGATGAGAGAAACCACAAAGTACAAAAAAACTACAGGGGACTGAGCAA